ACAACAGTTTCAACAAGATCACCACCGACAAGTTTAACAAGGACCTCATTGTCTAGATCACTCAATTCAACCACTATGTGCCCTCGTAATCCTTCTTTAACGCCAGTCAGACTTAAGACTGTTCTCAAAGCACGGGCATCACTCTGTACCAAACACAAAGCAAGTTAAGGGTTATCCAGCCTTACAAAACTTGAAGCAGATCATCACTCAATCAGACCTGATCAGCATTCCCATCTTCAGCAAGGACAATTATTGCACGAGCCTTTGAAACAGAAACCTGTATATCACACAGTTCTAGTAAACAAGACTTAAGACTGTTCTCAAAGCAAGGACATTTATGCCATAATGATACTGTAACAAATGAAGAAAAAAGAACCCAACATTAAAAAGTGCTTCTAGCAGTAATTGGATAAAGCATTAGGCATGACCAAAGCAATATCCACAGTTTTCAAAATGCTACTTTGGTGTGAGAAGAACTTGTGATCAGGTTGTGCAGTATAGAATTAAACTCTCCAATCAGTATTCTTCTGATAGATGCTGGTTCAGAATGTGGAGATTAATAGAAAGAAAGCGAGGGAATTTTATCGAATATGATCCTAAGAAGAGAAAAAATGGCATCCATTATAAGTCTACAGGAATTTGAGAGGTTGATCTCTCCTGCTATAAGCCTATAACTAACTGAACAACATAATTTGCTTACATTCTCTTCCTCTAGTCATATCCTACCTCTGCTACTGCAGTTAGGGGAGCTTACTAACAATAACAGTTTTACTAAAGAAGACCAAACAAACAAAGTCTGGACTACTAAGCCCTTTGGTTTCTAAAATATACTTTCCTAATTGGGTCATGAAGCTAACATCTTCTACAATCGCAATCTGTGAGTTCTAACAAATTTGGCTAACTGCCTAATAGCAAGTTTAATTTTGTTCAGTTCTGGCAACTCTAAACAAACCAATTACTTGAAAATATAGGGACCAACTTAATTGGTTCAGTTGTCTGGGCCCCAAAAGCCAGCCAACCAAAGTGATGAGCATGTCAGTGCTGTTATAGTTTTTACACTCCCTCGTTTTCTATACATTAATGGCTCAAGGCTCTACTGAACTTTTACCAAAACAATAAAACAAGTCTAATTATTTAACTCATTAGAATAAACCAAACAGCCTCTCTTAAACAAAGGTGGAACACTCTTCCTCCTTGTAATTCCTTCCAGACATCAACAGAAAAAGGGGAAATAAATATCAATAGGCACAGTTATTACACTTGAAAATATAGGTTAACATTAGAATTCATACATTATACCAGACATACAGAAAATCACAATTCCAAGATAAAGGTTAAAGTAGATCCTACACCTTTTTCAGATCAGCCAGAATCAAGGGGCTGCCACTTCTGCATATGACAGATGTTCCTTTGAAATCAAACTCCATTTTTGCAATGTCAAGCTCCATTTCTTCTTTGTCTCTCTCAGCCATCACTGCAACAGTTCCTCCACCCATACTCTCATTGGCTATGGCAAGCTGATTTAATAATGAACCCTGCACATCCAATCATGCTATTTGTGGTTGAAATTCATGAGCATTTCAAAAAGTCAATTGATTATGTAGATAACCAAGGGATAGAAACACCAATCAATATATATATATATATATATATGAAAATTTGGTCCAACTCACTCTTAAAAGCTTCATAAGAAGAGAATTGTCTAAGCCTTGTAACAAATATTCTGGACATATTATTTATTAATGTAGGACATCTTAACACACTCCTTCACACCCAGGATTGGATATCTAGTGCGTGAAGTTTGCAAAACTGAACATTTGTAAGTGACCTAACATTCAAATTAAATATACTCTGCAACCATCTTAGGAAACCTCATCTAATTACTCCCAAAAGCTAACTCATTGGAAAAGGATTGTTCAAGCCTTATAAGAAGTATTATGGTCTTATTACTAATGGACGCTAGACATCTCTCTATATATGTTTGTGTTTCCATAACAAAGAATATTAATTTTTTATTGAAAATCAAAAGATATCACAAAATTTAATGCACTAATAACATTAAATGCTATCATTTTCAATATATATTTATTATTTATTAATTTCTTATTACACGCACAAAAAACTGTGTGTTATTAGTCATGAATTATTCATTAGTTCATCAAAACTTTCATAAGGATGGTTACAAGACATCCAACAGATGGTGACATGAGAATCTCACCAATTTATCACTCCAACCAAGAATCAAAGTATGATTTTGCTCAACCACCTCGCTTTTTCCTTTCCTTAGTGAGTCAAACTTCTCAGATATTGCATCAGACACAAGTCCAAGCATCATCGCAAATATAAGCATCCCACCAAAGCTAATGGAAACTGCAACTACCCTTGAACCGATGCCTTGGGAGCTGGCATGGTTGCCAGAATCAGCAACGTAGGTCCAAGATAGCCAGAGGCAATGTGCTAAATCCTCGGTTGTTACACCAAAAAGGGCCAACCCTCCAAGAAATATTAGTAACAGCGTTGCAACTAACAACACAAGGGGTTTAGCATAGGGGTATACTGATAAAAAGACATCGACCCGATATGCTATTTGCTTGTTTAGAGAAACTTGGTCTGATAGATTGTCAGAAAATCTTGATTTTGATACATAGCCTATGTACTTGAAAATAATGAGGGGGACAAAAAGAAGTGTGAACGAGGAAAAAAGAGCTAGATTTCTTTTGAAGTTTTCACGTGACCAAGGATCAGCGTCCTGAACAGTGGAATTAGTCACATTCAGGGTGTCCAAGTTATGGCACGCATGTAACCTGAGATTAAGGCCTAGAATCTCACCCTACAAAGAAAAATTAGCTGGGTTCAGTTGTTAAGGAAGGAGGTTGAATTAAAGGGAGTCGGATTTAAGATGAAAGAGAGCATATATCTAATATATATTATAGGAATCGCCCTGCCTGCAACTTATTGACTTGGCTTTCTAGATGTCTATTTCGGAGCAGCAGCAGCAACAAAAAAGCAAGAGTCAACGTCTGCACACACGCCGACATAAAACAAGAAACAGTGAGCGAGTGAGCGAGCTAGAGAGAGAGAGAGAGACAGACAGAGAAGAGCAACCTAGTACCTACCACAAGGGCAAAATAGCAATGAAACTGCGAAAGACAAATAAAGCTATTCTTCGCAGATGACTTGACATTTTTCGTGTCGGAAATCTGAGGTTTGTCATTCGTGAGAGTGGGAGTCCGAGGGAATTTAACTCTGCGGCGATGGCGAATGCGAGTGGAGCTCGGAGGAGAGTAAGGCTTTGAGTTTGAATAAAATCGACGGCCATATTGCGAAGAAGAGGAACGCAGGAACGACGGAGACGGGAAGAACCAATCTCGGCCGGAAGCGGATGTCTCTGAACCCAGGGACATATTCGGAATTATACTTTTTCCATACGATAGTAAACAACAATTAAACTACGATGTATTCCTAATTGCTACTATTCAAATTCAACAGTTTAAGAAGCATAAACTATGTTTATTAGACTCCAGCCGCCGGCTTAAGGCATATTTGGTTAGTCATATTCCTAGTTTTTACACTCAACTTCTTTCAATATTTTTTTCCATTCAACCCAAGCCAACCATGCGTATTTTGAAGTTCTAAAATCTTGGTTTTTCCTACAGTAGTAGCATCAAAAACTTCATTAAAGCCTAAGGTAAAAACTTTTAACTTTTGCATAGTTTTTCAAGAGCCTATTTTGAAGAAAATTTTTAGACTTTAGTGTGTTAGATTTCACTCACCAATAAAAATTTTGTTACATAATTAAGAGAGGTTTTGATTTTAAAAATTATAAAAAAATACAAAAATATAATAATTATAAAAATTTAAAATAAAAAACGTTAAAATCATCATTACTGATAACCAAAAAAATGTAATTGATGAAAGACAATAATAATGATTTCTGAAAATAGTAATATTAAAAAGATAATAAAAAATAAAAATAAAAAGATAAAATGTTTGAAGGTACTTAAACTAAAATATTCAAAATATATATATCAAATTGTATAAAACGTTATTATTCTTGCTTAATCAATTATATATTATTTAACGTGACATGTGCATGATTTGAGAGATTAAAATAATAGATAAATATAAAAATTAAAAATTAATGTAATATTTTTAAAATTTTAAAAACTAAAATACTTAATACTAACAATTTTAGAAGTTAAAATAAGAGTTTAGTTTTAATATTAATATATATTTTATCATATTCTCTTTTATTTAATGTCAATATATGTTTTAAAAACTATTTTATTGATTATTGTGATAAAATAAATTAATTTAATGAAAATTTTCTTATTAAAATAATAAAGTTATTATAATAGTTATTTCATAAGAACTATTCTTAAAATAATATTAAAATTATTAAAGTAATTAACTAACAATAATTATACTTAATAAATAATAGTAATTAATAATTAAAAATAAAATATATTTCAACAATATCTTAACATACCATAAAAGCATACTAATATGATATAAAATTGACAAAATTATTTTTGGGAGTTTCAATTCCTCTTTTCTAAATTATAATTTGTTTTTTAAATTTCTTCTAATGCCTTGTTTATACGTAAAACATAAAATATACTAGTTATTTAAATAAAATACATGACTCATGAAACCTTTGAATATGTAATTCATACTGATGCTAAATAAACAAACACACACAAATAAAAGTAAAATCTTGGCTCATAAAGGAAGGTCATGCAATATTTAATACTTTCACAACTCTATCTAGCCAAAATTTGATGACCACTTAAAATCAAGCTTATTATAAACCCATAAAAAGATCTCATAGCTTATGATTGTGCATAATTCCATAGTTCCTTCGTATGCTAGAACAGATCTGCCGTGATGATTAGGGCCTTGGGGGCAGTGGTAAGGGCTGATGGGCCGTCCACCTTTGTCAGTCAAAAGTCATATATGAATCTATCAATATAGACAATAAATTGTTCACAATGGGGAACCCCGTGAAATTTTGAGAATTGTTCTCCGTCGTCGTCGACACCGATTGGGTTAAAGAAAAAAAGAAAAAAATAAAATCGATTAACGACTCTTCCCCTATATTTATTCTCTTACCTGCAGTCAGACCCACTACTTCTACTTCCTATCCCCTTAAAAAGAGTAACTTAAACAGCATCAGCAGCTAGATCGTCGAACAAAACCAAAACAAGAAAAGAAAAGAAAAGAAAAGAAAAGAAAGAACAAAATGGATCAAGAGTCACTCTCAGAATCCCCAGATATGTTGCCATCTTCGTCTACGGCACAATCGCAGCCAGATCCATCTCTTTCAAGGAACGTCTCTTTTAGCCGGCTCAACGCTCAGGCGCCAGAATTTGTACCCACTCGACCCACCCCGCGGACCGATTTGCAACAACCTAGGCTCGTAGTACCGCCGCCGCCGCCACCTCCTCCTCCGGCTTCAGGTATGGTGCACGTTTACTCACCGCCCCCAACTTCGCCGTTCCATATACCGATTCAGGGTCATGTCGTCCCGGTTCAGAATCATCACCATCATCATCATCATCTTGCCCACCAGCATCACGTTCCGGTTCACTACAGGTCTCATCATCATTCGCATCAGTATTATGTTAGCTCTGATTCCGGTGTGCAGCAGTCTCAAGTTGACCCAGATCATACCCCTTCTTCCAAAAGCAAGCTGTCCGATGAAGCTAGTCAGAAAATTTTAAATCAGGTATACTCTAGTTGCCTAGTAAATATGCCAATCTCCATACTTATCTTGTGATTCCAAACTGAATGGGTGATTGATAGTTTCAGTTTTTTTTCTTTGTTAAAGTTCTATGAACTGTCTTGGTAGACAAAAGTATTATTACCTCTAATTTCCTATCGACAATCTGTAATCAGCGTGTATATCAATATAAATAAAATATTTTAATTAGCCAACACATTCATACAAGTTTCGGATTATAGACTTTGTTCTATTCCTGTTCCTATGTGGATCATCGGCGATTATGGACTGGCCTGGGGATCAAGTTAGGTAATGTTTGGATGCAAGAGTGTGGAGGAGGAGGGTTAGTAGTTTTGAATTGTATCATTTTCATAACAATAATGAGGCCTTCAGAGTGAAATTAAAGAGAGGGTAACGTTTTTAGTTTTGAATTAAGACATATAATTATTATAAACAAGCTTAGGAAGCTTGAAGGTTTCACGATAATTTATCCCCTCTCTTCTCTTTCATCCCAACCTTCCGTCCCAAACACACCCTCAGTGATGTCACTGAAAGAGAAGTAACTCAGAATGGAGTAAATAGATCATCAGTTGCGCTAGTACCCTAATTTTTGACAGAGGAGAGGTCCCCCATGTTTATTGGTCCTCATTTATCTGTGTAGTGTAAACATCAAGTAGTGGATTGCACTTTTTTCTTTCCTATTTTTCCTGGGTCATTGCTGACATGAATCACATGATTGTAGCCTAGTGGATGTTGGGATATTTTATTGCTTTTGAAGGTGTGTTAGGATGTATAATGAGAGTGAATAAGGACAGTTGTTAGTCATCAGTTAGTTATTTTCTTAAAAGAGATTGGCTATAAGTAGGAGAAATTAGATTGGGGAGGACATTTTGTGAAATTGATGGATTGTGTAAGTGAAAGGGGAAATCCTTGGGAGAAATTTTATTCTCCATTTTCTGTTCTGTTCTTCAATAAAGTAATGTTGCTTTGATTATTGCTTTCTAGTCTTCATTTATTCTCTCTGGGCTCCTATCAATTGGTCAAACCTGCTGGATTTGCAAATCTTGAACACAATGGGATCTTGGATGGATGCATTGGAACAGTCAGTGGAAATATTTAAGAAAGTGACTTGGGAAGAAGGAACCTGACTTAAGGAGCTTGATGAGATAAAATGTATCATGGACCTTCTAGGACTTTTTTGCAGCAACAAGGAATATCACTGGAGGACAATGCTGATAACGAACAGCTAGATAATGGGGTCCTTGGACTGAAGCCCAAGCAACCTGATGGGAAAGCAGAGATCAGTGACTCTAATGGTGGAAGTGAGGATGATCAATCATAGGCAAAGAAAGATTGAATTCCCATGTTTTGTAGGCCAAGACCCTCTTGGGTGGATTGCAAGGGCCAAACCAGAGAAAGTGCAACTCCCTTTCATTAGCATGGAGGGAATTGCCATGCATTCATTCCAATTTTTGGAAAAAAAAATTCCAGACTTGACATGGGAAGACTCAACAGCAGCATTGATTCAAAGATTTGGAGGATGAAGCTTGGGTAATGTGTATCAGCAACTTAGCACTTTGTGGCAATCGTCATCAGTGGAAAAATACATTCAGGAGTTTGAAGTTTTAATTGCTCTAATGATGGAGATGACGGAGGAACAATCATTGGGATATTTCTTGGGAGGATTGCAGTAGGAGGTAAAGTGCAGAGTAAGACCCCACAACTGTAAAGATGTGATTCAGGCAATTGACTTGGCACTGGCTGTTGCAGAAGAGCTGAGGACTATCTATGCATGGGATGGGGGATTTGCAACCTCAAACCCAAATGACTAGGTCTTGATATACTACACTCTAGAGAGTATTGCTTTATTGGGGGTCCCCAAACCAGTAGATTCTTCAAGCCCAACTCAAGAGGAAGTGTTGTCAGGGTCATATAGGAACAAGACAACTTTGGGCCCATCCCTCCATTTAGATAAGGGTGTACAAGGAGGAAGAGAGACAACATCTCAATCAATGTCAAGGACCAGCATTACTCACGCTGTTCCCTCAAGAAACAAAGGGGCAAGCCAACTTTCTTATGAGGAGTAGGTCAGAGGATGGGAAGAAGGGAGATTTTTTAAGTGTGGCCAATCATTTAGTTCCATGCACAAATGCCCAGAATATAGTGTGTGGGTCCTTATCTGTACTGAAGATGAACAAGCAGCTGAGAATGGGGAGTGTATCAAGATTCAAGGAAAAGATGCATGGTCAAAAGTTGACCAGCAAGAACTTTTATACAATGAAACTTTCCATGTTCCACCTTGAGGGCAAGGTGGGATTTCAAGGGGGTAGGTATTGTTATGATGTAGAATGAGAGTGAATAAGAACTGTTATTAATCATCCATTAGTTCATTAATTAGTTGGACTAGTTACTTAGAAGAGATTGGCTATAAATAAGGGAAATCAGATTGGAGGATGGTATTATGTGAAATTGATTGATTGCATAAGTGAAAGGAGAGATCCTTTGTGAAGGGGAAATCATTGGGACAGAGAACAGAGATCCTTTTGAAGGGGAACCTTTGGGGGAAATTTCATTTTCCATTTTCTATTCTGTCTGTCAATAAAGCTCTTTTTCTCTGATTATTGCTTTTTAGTTCCCATTTTATTTTCTGTTGATTTATTTTATTGCAAGAGTAGTGCTATGTTGTTGTCCCCTTTTATGGATATTGATTGAATCTACTTACTGGGGTAGTTTAATTTCACAATTAAATTATGCAAGAAGCTAGAGTTTTGATATATTCATGTCATGACCCATATCAAGTATGTGACTAGCACATAGGCTTTAACACTCACTTAATAACATCATACTGAGAATGCAATGACAATGTAATAATAGGGTTAGAGTCTTCCTTGAAACTTGAGAAAAATCATACTTTATACATAACCTGCTCAAAATCATTTGAAATCTTATACAAATCCCATATGCAGAAGTCACATTTCGTAAGCATGTATCCTTTATAAATACTAGAAGGAAGTTTTGTGGAACTTATCAATCATCTGGATTTATATACTATTCTCCAAATTAGAAATAACTCCTATCTCTACAGCTGCAATATATTAGAGTTGATTTAATACCAACTCTCATTGACCATGGAAGCCTACTGAAAAGAATAAGTAACACCTTGGAGGATCAACAAAACTTGGGAACCTGCTACTCAACAACTTGTGAATTTGGAGAAAAAATAATATTAGGGTAAGTTATGCAAATTTGGTGAGGACATAATAAACAAAGTGAACAGGAAGGAGAAATAAGTAAGCAGTCACATGAGCTTTTAAAAGTTTAACATGACTTGAAAGGTGTTTAAAAGAGCTTATGAGGAGGGGTTTTTGAAATTAGTTTATGACCCATCTTAGGCTCATTTTAGTTTTTAACTTATTTCAATAAGTTTTTTAATATCACTTATCAAAGTATGCTCTTTATTTTATTCTAATAAGTTTCATGATAAAATTTGTCCTAAGTCCTCATGTTATAAGAGCTTATTTAATTAATACTTAATTAAGATGTATATTTAAACCTCAACAATAAGTTAATTGAAGAAATCGAACTCATAGCTAATCAAATCATAATATGAAAAGTTCTTCCATTCCAAGATCTGTAATGGGTCACAATTCACGTGTGAAGAACTATGTATAAATTTGTAAATTCCAGCTGGAGGGGTACAAGCTCCACCTACCATGTCATAGGGGCTGTGCCTCATACCCAACATAATCTCATAGTTAGGGTCCTTTCACCCTTTGATCTCATAAGGAGCGAAAAGGTTCTTTACACCCAATAGTGTATCTGAATATATTATGAGCACGTAACCTTCTATTCTCGTTGCTACCTCTAGCGAATTAGATTGTTTATTCTCTTTGCTGTAGCAAAGCAACACTCTTAACACAGAACCCGGTGAACACTTTACAACTTAACGTCCAAGTGAAAACAACAATCAAATTTTCAACTTCTAGAATATTTCCATTCTCAATTTCTTTCAAAGTATTACTCAAATTGTCATTCTCTTGAATATAAACTCACATAAATTAAACAGTCCTTAAAATCACATTTTTGGAGCGTAAGCCATCATGGCAATTACATTTTAGCAAGTATAAGACAAGTAATAATCATGAAATATGAAGTCATTAGGAAATATAAGTAAATGTTAGTTATATGATTCCCCAATAATCTCAAATAATTATAATCTTTTTGTCATGGAGATGAAAGTTTATTAAAGAAAATTTCATATTTTTTGAAAATTATATTCCTGCCATAAAAGAAACAATTATATAACAGTTTCCACAAGTAATTAGTAAATCATCTACTCATAGGAGAACCAATGTAATCACTTCTGGGAATTCCAAGAACAGTGATCACCAAGGAGCAATGAGGAAGTTAGATTAAATTCCCAAATTACAAGGGTTAGTATTTTCAAGGAACTCGTGAAAAATCTAATACTTAGCTTTCTACTATTATTTAACAATACCCATAAAATTTAAATCCCCAATTTTGCATCTTTAAGATGGATTTCAGGAGGTATTTGAGAAGTTGACTCTTTTGCATATTTAATGTTGGGAAATGGAATTTGAGGATGGAAATGGATAGAAAAGTTTATTTTTGTGACATATATCTATTTATGTTTATCATAATATATTTCTCTAAGTTGCATCTTTTTACCTTTTTTACCATTCATGCATCACACCTTGACTAGGGTTTTGGTTTGGATTTTCGTATAATAATTTGTAGGTGGAGTATTATTTCAGTGATTTAAACTTGGCTACTACCGATCATTTGATGAGGTTCATCAACAAAGATCCAGAAGGCTTTGGTAAGATAATATTTTTGGTTTCCTTCTTTTTTATTGTGTAACTAAATTATTATGGGCTCAAACATTTCATTTTGCTTCCTATTTGATGTCATCCCTCTCCTCCTTTTTAAGGGAGGAACAAGATGATGGATGTTAAAAGAATCTCACATTGAACAATGTGACACATTGATTCTTGTTTCTGTAAGATAGATGATAGATGATTTTAGATTTGATATGATCTACTATTATATATTATGTCTAATGCTTTTCTAAAATTATTTAGTGCCTATATCTGTTGTTGCATCTTTCAAGAAGATAAAGGCCCTCATAACCAGTCACTCCCAACTTGCAACTATTTTGAGGAACTCATCAAAGCTTGTAAGTCTGTCTACTTTCTTGCTTCACAAACTAATGCTATTGTTGAGCTTTTAATTTTCTCTGTCTGGATTTCTTTCATAATTTTTTTTCTTATTGCTTTTAAATATATATATATATATATATATATATATCATTGCTGAATTCTCCAGGTGGTTAGTGAAGATGGAAAGAAAATCAAACGCCAGTGTCCCCTGACTGAGTCTGATGTAGAAGAGCTACATGTAATTTTTTCACGACAATTTGTGACTGACTTTAAGTTGTGCAAAACAGTTTATTTAATGCTGCATTTGGTTTTGATTTTCTTTGAAACAAGCAACACCCTTTGATCAGTTATATTTTGATACTTGCATGCCATGTATTCTTTTCAAAATATTTTATTCACAATGTATTATTGTTGTTAATGATGATCTATCTTATTTGTGCTTTTTCCTTCTCCCTCACACCTGGCAGTTTTTGTGTTTCTTGTAGTCTCGCATTGTTGTAGCTGAAAACCTACCTGAGGATCATTGCCATCAAAATCTCATGAAGGTTTTCTCTGCTGTTGGGAGGTACTACTGTAGTTGTCATTGAATGATGCTTGTCATGGATTTTTTTTCTTTATTTTTTTAAGTTTGTTATTTTCAGTAAAGCTTTGAATTCTAGCCATCTTATGTCTCATGTGGCAGTGTGAAGACTATCCGTACCTGTCCACCTCAAACCTCCAATAATGGGGCTGCTTCTGCTTCAAGATTAGGAAAAGTTGATGGCATGCCTTTATCTAACAAGGTACACATTCATGCATTCATGAATTCATGTACTAGAGGTTCCATCCTAGAGTTATTATGCTTTTATCCAACATATGCTTGAATTACAGTTCTCATGATGAAATTGACCATTTAATTCTACTCCATAGGATGGTTTCCAAGTCTTTATCAATATTGTTTGAGGCCATCCACAGAACAAAGCTGTTGGGCTTGGCTGCAAATCAATAATTAGATTTCAGGCCTGTTCTTCAGTTTTGACTTTCTCAATGTAGATATTTATTCCTAGTCTAATTTTTTTTTAAAAAATTTCAATGATTTATAACTCTTATTTCAACTGGTAGTTGAATGCTATGAAGTATAGACATGACCACCTGTGTTGCATGCTACCTTTTTGGGTTGACAAATTTAAAGTTGGAGGACATGAACTTATGCTGGAGAAGCATGCCAATGATATGATTCTTTTGTCTCTTTTCTTTTATGAGTATTAATGTGGAGGTGATTTAATGAATCTTATTTGAATTCTTGTTCCAGTTGCATGCATTTGTTGAATATGAATCTGTTGAGCTGGCTGAGAGAGCAGTAAGTACCATTACTTTGCTGAGTTCGGAGGAATTATTTCAGGTAACTTTTCAGCTAGATGACATTTTTCAGCCATGTAGTGATAAGATTGAGAAACATTGGCAGGTTGCTGAGCTGAATGATGAGGGAAACTGGCGGAGTGGCCTCCGGGTTCGCCTAATGCATAGACGCATGGTATACATTAAATTTTTTCTTCCCTCCATTACAGTATGCAAGTGTTCCCACAATAATGCATTGTTTATACAACCTAACGCTAATTTGAAATTTATTTGTTGGGCATTAAATATTCTAGCTCATATGGCCTTGTCAACAAATATGTATTTTGATTTTTTTAAAACTTGAACGGGACAAGGAAAAAAAAAAAAACCCTCTGATCTGGCCAGATGGTCTCATAATCATAAATGTTGAGGGGCATTTCCAATTCCAAAGCTGTTAGACCTACTTGCTTTTCTTCTTTTTTGGTTTGTTTGAAGAACAAAAATATTAGATTTATTGATTTTTGTGATTTAGATGTATTATTGATATTTTATTTCCAGTCAAAAACTGCTCAAGGACGAGGAAAGAAAGGACTTGATGTTGAAGTTGGGTGTGAGGAGGATTATACTCCTGTCCTAGAGCCGCAGGCAGGTGAGAAACAATTAGAAGATGCTTCCTTTCCTGATACTCAGCTGCATGAACATGGGGTAAGTGCTAGCTTATTTTATTGTCTGATTGTTCATGATATATAACACAATTTTATTGCATGACAACTGGTAATTATGAGAATCATGTATCCATCTCAAGTTAATTGGAATGCTTGAGTTGCAATAACGTCAGGCTTAAACTAAAGGATTATTCTTTTATGACATGGTCTTTCTAGTAAAAGGAGTATATTAAAATGTAGATGTAGTACCAAAGGTGTTTCTTTTCTTATATTGTTTTCTAATTAATATTAGAGTTTATTATTATGTTTCTTATATTGGCTCTAGCACTTGTCTTTGTGATTGTGTCTAGGAAACTGTTCCCGCCTTATGTTTTAGAAGGATCTAGATTCTCTCCATTGTGGCGAGAATTGGACATTCAGTTCCATTTTTCCATTTTTGCATAAGCAAAAATGAACTCGCTTAAGCAAAAATATAGAAAATGCAAAAAATTTTATGCAAAATTAGTTTAAACCAATTTTTTTTACTTAAAAAAATTTTGTGCATTTAAGGATATGGAGGTTGGATACGAGGAAAAAAGAGGAGTGAGGATAAATAGAGACAAAGAGAGCAGGTGGTATAGGAATGATGGTGAAGGAAGAGGAGGGTAGAGAGTTGAATATGGAGGAAAGAGGGAGAAATAAGTATGAGGTTAAGTAAGAGTAAGAAAGAGAAAAAAGGAGTTGAACATAGGGTAGAGGGAAGAGGGAGTTGTGAGAGGAAGAATGGAATTGAATATGAGAGGAAAAAAAAGGTTGAATATGCAGGTTAATGAGAGAGTGTTAGGCATGAAAAGAAGAAGACAAAATTGAGAGAAAAGATGCAAAATTCACTTAAATTAGAATATTTCGCTTAAGCGAATCTACAAAAATTTGCTTAAGATAAAAAAATTCATTTAAACTAATTTTGTATAAAAAAAAATTGTTTGTTTTCTGTATTTTTGTTTAAACTAGTTCATTTTTGCTTAAACGAAAATAGAACTGGATGTCCAGTTCTCACTACAACTGGGAAGAATCCGAATCCGTTTAAAAACCCTTTCAAACATGTTTGAGATCTTAAAAAGGAAAATATGCTTTGGGTTATTTTGGTAACATGCCTTGGTTGAAATACAGATATGTTGTGAATAATGGTGTTTTATTGCATCATTAACAGCATATACATGTCCATGTCGTCTTCAATTGTAATATGAAAATTTCTGACTGCTAGTTTGAGGACAACGTAGCAATAGTATTTGTTGCTGTTATATGCCTTAACTTTTTATTTAGGCCATAATTCTTTGAAGTTCTAACTTGGCAGGGAGAAGAGCATGGTTTTGACAAAGAGAGCGGGCAGAGGAAAGGTCGGAGCCGGGGCCGGGGTAAGGGACGGGGTCGAGTTCATTGTCATCAAAATAATCGTGTGAATCACTTGGGAACACCCCCTTCCACTAATACAATTTTAACTGATCAAGTTGTTGCCAAGCAGCCACCCGGGCCTCGTATGCCGGATGGCACAAGAGGATTTTCAATGGGTCGGGGGAAGCCGGTAGCTGTTAATATAGCATAATTTGTTTGATCAATGCCGAAACAAGTGTGTAATTGTGCTTGTAGCTGAGTATATTTTGCTGCTGGAACAGAATGATTATGGAGTACTATTTTGGCTGGGGCGATTCTCAAACACTATTTGTTAACGTGTTGTTTTTCTTTTGGAGATGTTGTGGCTATTTCAGGAGAAAGTAGACAAAATATATATGGAAAGGCAGACCGAAGTGGCGAGGCAGCACGTTGGGTAAAAATGTGCGAATAACCGGACCTAACGATTTAAAGCTCGTTTGTGCCTTTTTAAGAAAAGAAAATAAAATAAAATTTAAATGTTTTGAAAAATGATATGATAATGATTAGTTTTAAAAAAAATGTAGTTTTATGTTCTTTTCTCTAAGTGAAAAAAAGTTAATTTTGTAAAATAGCAAAAATAACAAAGTATCATAGTTTTCTCCCCCAAAAGCTTATTTAATTGGAATAATATATCCAATTAGTTTTGTAAAATTATAAGAATCGGTCCATATAGTTATAAAAATATTTAGTTTATGAAATTATTATAGGCCATTTTAGTATGTTCTTGTAATTTTAGGAATTGAAATGATTGTATGTGTCAAATGAATACAATAAGATCTGCATATAATATGTGCAACAAGATTGTCAATTAACAATACCACATAATGTATATAATTTTTTATATTAATTATTATAAATGTTAATGATTCTTGGTAACATGTCTATTTATAATTGGATATCAGTGTAAAAGGAGTATTTAAATTAAATTTTATAATCTTATTAAACAAATTATAAAATCATAATATTTAATGTATTAATAGCAATAAATGATATTATTTAATATAAAAAAAGGCTAAATTTATTAGATTAGTCTCTTAATTCTTATTTTATTTTAATTTTATCTTTTTTTTCCTTTCTTATTTCAATCTTTAACCTAAAAATTAAAATAAACTTTAATTCTTATTTCATTCCTTTTTGTAAATTTTGACGAAAATAAAGTATATTTTAGCAAATTTTTTGGCTTTCTTTTTTATTCTATTTTTGTATTTACAGTTTTATTACATATTTCTTTCCTTAATTTTGACAAAAATTTTCTTACTTCTTTGTTTCTTCCTTTTTACCTATCTTCAAAACTTTTGTAAATTTTTTTTAACAACATTAATTATTTTAATTGATAAATTTTACATTACAAATTAGTGTTTATGAAAAGAGATAGAGAATGATTAAGTCGTTTATATATATAATTATTTTTTTAAGATGTGTGATAAATAGTTAATCTAATGAATCTAAATTTGTTATTATTGAAATATTAGGATTTTTAAAAAAATAGTCTGCAAGTTGGTACAAATTACAAGTGACTCGATATTGTTTAAGTAAGATTTTAAATTCAAGTTCCTGTGTATGCAAAAAATCTTTAGAAATACACTCACACTATATTTAAGTGCATGATCTCGATCGAATTTAAATTAAACCAAATGAAAAAATTAAAAAAAAAAAGTAAATTATCTTTAATAAAAGAAGAATTTTAAACAAAAGATTTAAAAAGACTCAAAATTTTAAATTAAAAAATATTTTATTATACTTTTGTTGGAGGAAGAAAAAAATATTTTTATTAAAGTTTGAATAAAAAAAGATATAAATATAAACGACAAATTTTTGTCAAGAGTTCAAAAGAAGAAAAAAATGGATTGAGACACATGGATAAAAATGAAAAGGAATACAAAAGAAAGAAAGTTTACAATAAGAGAAAAAATAAACAACAATTTTTTTAAAGTAAAATTAATGTTTTTATAAAAAAATATTTAAAATATTTTTATAAAATAAAGATTAAAATTAGAATAAAAATAAAAAAATAAAATCAAAATAAAATCATTAGTTAATTGATAAATCTATTAATTTAACCTAAAAATATTATTTATTAAATTTTATTGGGTGTTATTACTAAGAAATTAAAATAAATAATATTTTTTATTGAAAATTATATTAAAATGTTAAGATAAATTTATTTTTATATTTTTCGTAAAATATTTTTTTCTTTTATTATATGTTCTTCTTGCATAGCCGAGTTTTTTAAAAGATAATATAATTCTTAGGAATTAAGCTTAAAAAAGACAACTCTTAACAATTAAATTAAAAAAAGTTTTTATATAAAACATACACCGTACGATTTGCCATATTTGATAGCAAAACCTTCGTATATTTAAATCATCTTGGCCGGTAATGAACCGATGATTATCCATTTCGTGTTTAGCGTAGGATAAAGCAAATTACTCGGTGCTTGTTGATGGCAGTATTGGTGGCACTGTCAGCTGTGGTTTTGTTCACAAAATTTTAATTGTTTCATGTTTGCAAGAAATTTTAGATTGATATGGGTCTTAAGTGATCCTTTGCCTTTTAGGTTCGAAACAGTTTCTTGAGGTTGTGAAATTCGGTCTCCGGCTGCCAGATTTGCTGTGGGTTTCGATCTGTTTATCTATCCAATTTCATTGAGCTTATCATTAAGGTATTATGAATTAATTTCAGATGTTGTATATGTTAAATGTGCTCGCCTTTCTAGTTTTGAGGTATCCCTGATTACCAAGTTGCGGCTGGAGAAGGAGATGATTGATTGGATAAGTAATTATTTCCTCTTGGATTTATTTCCTGGTGTCTTGGAATTCTTGATGACTTAATTAATTTATTCAATCAATTATTTAAGTGTGTATGATATGTACGAACATATTATACTTTTGTGTAAGTTTGATTTGTGGTAAATTGGATGGTCTATACATTTTTCTTTCTGTCGTTTATAGGGAGAGAGAGAATTCATTGGTACCACAGGAAGACTTTTCAAGTGATTATGGAGAAACAGAGCAGTTTTCGGGCATCTACGATGGAGAAACAGAAGAGTTTTCGAGGATTTATGGAAAAACAGAAAAGTTTTCGCATTGTGATGGAGAAGCAGCTCAGCTTCATCGGAAGCGAGAGGAAGAAGAGCAAGGAATCACCTGGGAAACGTGGTGACTTACCAATTCATTTAGCAGCTCGAGCAGGGAACTTGAGTAGAGTGAAAGAGATAATTCAAAACTGTTCTAGTTACGAATCAAAGGATTTGTTGGCAAAGCAGAATCTAGAGGGGGAAACTTCCCTTTATGTCGCTTCAGAGAATGGACATGCTTTGGTTGTTAGCGAGATACTAAGGTACTTGGACCTGCAAACTGCTTCTATAGCGGCCAGAAATGGCTATGATCCATTCCACATTGCTGCAAAGCAGGGCCATCTTGGTAAGATACAACGTGTCATTATGTTTGGGCCTAAGGTCCCTGTAATTTTCTTATCTTTTCTTTGTTTTGAATTTTGTGAACATTTTTGCTAGGTCAACAGATGGAGCTTAATACTTCCTAAAAAGATTGTGTGGGTGTAGTATCTTATTTATTGCATTTTTGTTAATTAAGATGTCCAAAATCGATACTGTTCTTTCAGTCTCTTTCCATAAAGCTTGAGTATGCAGGAAATTCAGATGTGTCAACTTCTGATTTATTTGTGTCAAATTCAGAAAGTTGTGGGAAATTTTTGTTTCCTAGTTAAAGAAACAATGTCCAAAGATGGATCTTGTCAGTAAACTGAAATGTAGATCTTGTTAACATTATAGTTTATTATTTTACAATCATATATTTGGCTGCGATGGTTTTACTGCTTTGCCTTTCAGATAGTCTTGTTTAAGTTTAAGATACAGTACCATGGGTGAGAAGGCCAGGCGCGGAGTACCAAAGATATTTTTCACAAATAGTATGTCTGTTATTTTGTGTCTCTCGCTATATCTTTGACTGAGAAAAAAAATAATCTTGCAGAGGTGCTGAGAGAACTACTGCACTCCTTTCCCAACTTGGCCATGACCACAGATTTGTCCAATTCAACTGCTTTACACACAGCTGCAACTCAAGGTCATATTGATGTGGTTAATCTCCTTCTGGAATCAGATTCCAACCTTGCAAAAATAGCTAGGAATAATGGTAAGACTGTTCTTCACTCTGCCGCCAGAATGGGACATTTGGAAGTTGTGAAAGCGTTACTAAACAAGGATCCAAGTACTGGATTTAGGACTGATAAGAAAGGTCAAACTGCACTACACATGGCTGTGAAAGGGCAAAATGGAGAAATTTTGCTGGAATTGGTAAAACCTGACCCGGCAGTTTTAAGTCAAGAGGATAATAAAGGAAATACTGCATTACATATTGCCACAAAGAAGGGCCGTACTCAGGTGCTTCTTTATTCTTTTATCATTCATTCTGTATAATGATTATTAGCCTTGGTAAACTAATGTAGGCAGTCTTAAACGCTTAATTTCTGTTTAGCCATGAATGTGAATCCCTGTCTGATACTTGTACCTGTGGATTAGAAATAAACAGAAAATAGATAAGCACAAAAATCTGCGTGCACAAAATGAAAATACAGCTGTAAGCCACATTTTGGCTACTGCCACAGTTTTTGGTGGCATATTGGCCATTAAGCAAAATGACCATTGGCTTACTTGTTAATTTTGTTTTCTTGTTTGCACATAGTGTACTAGGACTCATGTATGGACCTCAATTACAAGGTTGGAGCCATGAATTTCAACGTGGGGGTACCCAAGTCTAATTTTAATTTTTGAGGGGCCTTACATTAAATAAAGACAATAATTGCACTTTTGTTTCCTCTAGTTTGGGTTATGTGCAATTTTGGCCCTCCAAGGTTTTTTTTTTTTTGGAGCTAATTGAGTCCCTATATTTCTAAAATTTTGCAAATTTAGTTCCCAATCAATTTTCTACTACTTAAAACCCTGAATTCTTTATTTTTATTCAACTTTTTAGAGGATTTGTAATGGAATTAGAAGATAAAATGATTCTAAAAGTTTAAAAGTAAAAAAATTAATAAAAAATTGATAAAATTTTAAAAAATGATAACATGTAAGATTAGAACTTGAAAAGAGATTTTTTTTTTTAAAAATTTGGATGAAATTTGATACTTTGGTTGGTTAATTTTGAATAAATGACAAATTAATCAATTTAATTTGTAAAGATTTTGAGTAAAAAAAATAGAGTTTAGGAGTTTTAGGTAGAAGAAAAGTCATAGGGGACTAAATGTGCTTAATTTTAAAAATAGAGGGATTTAATTTGCTCGAAAATATGTTCTTTGAAAATAGAATTTAATAGTGAGTGCAATTAGCTTGATTTAAGCATCGTGACACCAACACATAAACACAGGAATGTCCAAAGTATAGGAGACTGAGAGACAATATGAAAACAATGATCTAAATTGAGAACAGAAACTTACATATTCACCTTTTCTAAACAACTCGCCAAGCTTTACATTTTTCCTATGATATTAAGCACTTTGCCTCTTTGCAAAAAGATGAACTATTTCTTTCACTTTCAATCTATTCATGTATAACTAAAGAAAGGATCTAGTCTATCTAAGATCATTCACTCCTTGATCATTTTTTTTTTAAATTCTCCAACTCAAATTCATAAAGACATCAAGTGACATTTTTATTTCTTGTTTTCCATTTAAAGCATTTTTCTTTGTGTTGGCTGTGTCAAAGTTATGTGGTGTTTGTCCTAGCTGATAGTATTTATTTTTTCAATTGGACGTTGGTTGAGCAATGTTCTTCATGTGTAGTATGGGTTTTGAAGAAGTGCTAGTGTTGGAAGTGTGTTTGATACATTGACACTGCAAGAAGCACCAGTCAGTAGTGTAAGTGCTTCTGGAGTTCAATTCATGATTCTAGTTTCAGGGTACAGTTTGCTTGTGGTTGCTTGAATCAAACATAAAAGGCTTGTTAGGCAATATCTTATGTAACATGAACTGTATAATGAAATAGAAAAACAACATCATCAACAACAACCAAGCCTTATTCCATTAGGTGAATCCGGCTACATGGATCGCACAATGCCATTGAACTTGGTTAAAACTAAATTTTTAGAAATCTGATTAATTAAAAAGTCTCTTTTAATAACTTCATCTAAGCTTCTATTCTGTTTTTTTTACTTTTTTTTATCAAACTAAAAATCATGCAATCTATTGTTATAGACCTTATGTAGAGACACTTTTTTATCATCATTTGTAAAAGATATATAGCTATTTTTATAGACCTTCTTGACATAAAACTAAATTGATTTTCTGCAATTTCAATTTCTTTCTATAATCTATGTTCAATCATCTTTTCTCACAACTTCATAATATGACTCATAAGTTTAATCCCTTGATAGTATGCAGAATTTTAGATATCAACCTTATTCTTGTATATAAGAACTAAAGTATTCTTTCTTTATTTACGTGACATAATCGTAAATTTCAAAATCTCACTAAATTCTACTCTTCAAACTTTTCCAAACATCTATAGGCATATTGTTAAGGCTAACCGCTTTATCATTGTCCATTATGTCAAGAGCTGCTTTTACTTCTTCAATGTGAATCTTACATAATATGCCAAAGTTTGATTATTCGCTTGCACTTATAATTTTTTTTGATAAAGCTGATTCCTAGTTAACCGCTACAATTTGACTTCAATATCTATTCTAAATTCATTGTTATTAATTACAGAATGTCCGCTGCTTGTTATCAATGGAGGGTATCAATATCAATGCCATGAACAAGGCTGGAGAGACCCCTCTTGATGTTGCAGAAAAATTCGGAAGTCCAGAACTTGTCTCCATTTTGAGAGATGCTGGGGCTGCCAATTCCACTGACCAAGCGAAACCTCCAAATGCTTCAAAGCAACTCAAGCAGACTGTCAGTGACATAAAGCATGATGTACAATCCCAGCTCCAACAGACGCGTCAGACTGGCATGAGGGTCCAGAAAATTGCAAAGAAGTTGAAAAAACTCCACATTAGTGGCCTGAACAATGCAATAACCTCTGCTACTGTTGTTGCCGTTCTCATTGCCACTGTTGCTTTTGCAGCTATCTTCACAGTCCCTGGTCAATACGTTGAAGAAAAAGCACAGGGGTTTTCACTTGGACAAGCAAATATATCAAACAATGCTGCTTTCCTAATATTTTTTGTGTTTGATAGCCTGGCATTATTCATCTCTCTGGCAGTTGTGGTGGTTCAAACTTCTGTAGTTGTGATTGAACAAAAGGCAAAGAAACAGCTTGTTTTTGTCATTAACAAGCTCATGTGGATGGCTTGCCTTTTTATTTCCATTGCCTTCATTTCTCTCACATACGTGGTGGTGGGATCACACTCCAGATGGCTTGCTATTTATGCTACTGTGATTGGAAGCTTAATAATGCTCTCTACAATTGGCTCCATGTGCTATTGTGTCATTTTGCATAGAATGGAGGAGACAAAATTGAGGGCTGAGAGTCGTTCTTTCTCTCTGTCTCATGCATCAGACCAAGAGATTTTAAACAGTGAATACAAGAGGATGTACGCACTGTAGGATTGTTGCGTGCGTCCGTGTGTGTGTGTGTTGTGTTTGTGAATGAATGGTTTGTATCTTGCAGCATATTCTTGAGGTGATAATAGATAGTTCCTACAGATTGTACGAAGACAACCTATGATCTGTTAGACTGCAGATATCCCGAGAAAAGAGGATAGGAAGAAAAAAGGCGGGAAATCTTCGTCACATCCACACGTAAGCAGAAATGCTGTTTTATTATCAAATTTAGTATGATGTTATTTAAATGATTATCCCGTTAAATACTTGAGATTATACTTATTAGGTGTACGAGCGGTTAAAGGCAATAAATTAGATATATTTAATGTATTTCATTAAATATTTTAATTATTTTAAAAAATAAGTATAAGATTATTCATCATTTTTAATATATATATATATTAACATAATTTTTAAAACATTCAATTTATAGATTCAAGTGTAAACTATCCATATTTTTTAAATTATAAATTTGTAGGAATTTAGATAAAATTACTCTATTGCAATTCTAAATTTTTAGTTGTGTTAGTGTAAAGTGCAAGGTAATAATTCTTCTATGTAGTCCTGGGTAGGTATTAGGTTAGTGTCTGGTCACCTTAGTTTTTCTTACAATGGAAACATATGTACCGAACCCCGACAACTATTATTCAGTCAAGTAGTGTTTTTATCTTCTATAAGATAGAATTTCGTTTAAGTGGGATAAAATAATAACAGGTAGTAAAACTTTTTATTTAAATATTTAATGCAACTGTATTAATTGTGACTTGAATTTGTAATCAAATGTTAAGCTAAAAGAGTTGATACATGAACTCGGTGATCGAGGGATTCTAATAGACTTTTTGGATTCCTCCTCTTTAGCGAGTGTAGGATTTATGTGAAAGGTTTGAGTTCCCGTTATCACTAGTCTTGGTGTCCCTAGATTCTATAAATCTTTTTTTCTTGTGGGACTCTGAGGCTATGTTATATAGTATATGTCAACACCGATCCTCTTCCAGAAAAGAAAAAGGCTATTCATAGTCTTTCTGCCAGCGACCCCCTTACTTAGCTCGAAAGATGATACATAAAAATATTTAATAATAATAATAATAATTTTATTAGCATATAATTATAATGGAAATATAGATGAAGGTCCATGAATTTGAATTTGATGTTCTATTAAAATCATATAAGTTTTACATTCATCTAATGTTTTTGTTGTGAATTTTAAATTTGTTAAGAAAATTTTCAATCAATAAACAAGTATACTCGTTAATTATAATAAAATAAAGTATTTTAGATTCTCTCCGTATTATTCTTGTGTAAATTATAATCATAAATATATATTATTAATATTTCTTAAATGTTAAGCAATAGAATTGATGAAGATATTTAAATAAAAAATTAATTACAAAAGTTAAAATAAAAATAAAAAATAGAAAATTTACAAAATTAATTTTTATATATATAAATTTAAAATTTTTGCTTTTTTCTTGTGATTACCTATATATTCTTTAATTTAATTTAATTGTGTTAAAACAATAATCATCTAATCAATTATTATTACTATTTAATGATCATATAATAATGACAGTTTATTTATTCATTTATTACTTTAATATTCATAGAAAACAACAAAATAAATAAAGGTATATTAAGAGACATTAATTTTTTACTTCTAATTAAATATTGTTATCTTATTGTCATGGTTTTTGCGTATAGCCGTTGCTATTCGTCAACCTCATAGATTTGCATCATGACTGATTTATTTACGAAATTACCTATTTTAAAAATTAATTTTTTAAGCAATACCTTTAAAAATTAATTTTACAAGAAATAAAGAAATATAAAAAAATTCTAGTTTTAGTATTATTTTTAACCCTTGTGGCTGGCTGCTAATTTATATAGACCAATGGTTGCCATTTCTGGGGTGTAGGTTGCTCATAGTCGTCGTTCACACAGTATCTCATTGCTCGTCGCTGCTTGCCACTCAGTGCCGTTGTTGGTCGGTCTACTCTGGCCTCTACTCATCATTCATTGCCGTTGGTTTTTGCGTATACCCGTGGCCATTCGTCGACTCCATAGATTTGGATCATGACTGAAGTATAAGTAACCCTTTCTACTCTACCCATTTGCTTCAAAATCTTCCATTCTATCCATGCTTGCCCCCTTTGTTTCTTCCCAAGCTGATGCATTTATGTACTAAAAGATTACAATTTTATACTCAAGTTTTGTCATTTGCAATTATCAACTTCATTCCACGTCAGGGCCCACACAACTCCAAAGTCCCAAGACTATACTTACCTATTTGATGGTTTTCTATAAAGTAATAACACAATTATTATAAAAAATAGGTAGAAATACGTAACGAAGCTAAAATAAGAGTAAAAGAAGTAGTAAACTTGCGCTTAGCCGCTGAAGGTTCACATCTTGCAGCTCTCTGGCGCTTTCCACGTGCTGCCTCTCTCTTTTCCTTCAATGCTTAGTTTCGTCACACACTCCACTTCCTATGCCGCCTTCGATTATTTCTAATGATAACGTGTCAAGCAGTGACAACCTAGTGGCATGTTTGGTCCGGTTTTGAAAGTGATTGATGTGAATTTTTTATAGAAGAGTAGTTGATGAATCCGAAACTTGCATATATATATATATATATATTATTTTAACTTTCCATTCAGACGCACTTAGTAGTAAGTGGGGTTTCCTGCATATTTTCTCTTTTAGGGTATTAATTAAAAATTAAAAATTAAAAAAATGAAAGAGATATATATTTATTATTTTTTATAAAAAATATTTTAATTTTTTAAACAGTATACTCATTAACATTTGTCTTTATTCATTTATGAGGTGAAATATATCCTTGTTGGTATCATTTGTCTTGACTATTGACTCTTAAGCGGGGTATTAATGACTATCACGAGAATGCAACTAAATTTGTTGCAAGGGGAATGGACTCTAGTTTATTTTACCCCTCTAGGTGGAATGGAATTTTGGCCCTTATGAATATTTGGCCAAAGCATGTGTTTCATGTTTTATAATCTTGCTTGCATGATTATGGTTGGTTTATATATGCGTCATTGGCTGATTGGGACCATGTTTCCATTCCCTTGCTCAAAGGCAAACCAAAGCTTTCAATTTTTCTATCCTTCTTCCACCCTTTGCTTCATTCAATTGCCGACAACTAAAAATATGGTTGGATAAAAGAGAATTAAAAAATTAAAGGAAAATTTTGTAAATATTTTATTTAGTTTAAAATTACTTTGTTAACGTTATTTTCACAAATACTTTTTAATTCAAAATAAAATTCCTTTTCATTTTCTTTCAGATAATAGTATATGTGAATTATTTCAACGCATCAACATAATTGGAAATAGTATGCATGCTATATGTATACGAACCAAACATTTAATTCTAACAAGACAAAGAAGAAGAAAAGTGAAACTTCTGCATTGCCTTCTCATATGGGGAACACTTGTGCCTGGGCCTAGTATTTTGACACAGACAAAGAACCATGTTTGTGGGCAATTATTCAGTTTAGAATTCGCATAGCTTCAAAATGAAAATTCTTCATGACCAAAAAAGAATTGAAAATTCTCATTCGATATCATTGAATTTGTAATACTTTGACAGTATGATTATCACTATATGTTTAAATTTAACAGTTTCTGAATGCTATGAATGAGGCAATACATATTAAATGACAATTTTTAACTTGGGAGGGCGTTATACTCACTTTTATGGATTACTATATAAGTGTTTATCTAGCTACGCATACCCCTAAGAGAGAGTTCCGAACTATGTCGCTTGCTGGGTGGGATTCATGCAGATAGCATCTCAGATAATTCACTGGTCCTGCAAAACACGTGGCATTTATACGGAAAATTATTTCAACTGTGGTTTAATTGAATAAGAAATCTAATTTGGTTGGTTTCCACTGTACAACTTAAACACTTGTCAACTATTATTTAAAAAAATGGTTGGAAATGAAGAAATTTTATCAATCATATTCTTACTGCGGAAATTCTAACTGTCGCCTTGACTAAGGGACTTAACAATGTTTATGAAGAAAACATTAATATTGTTTGGTCTTTAATTTGATACAACTGATTAATGAGTGTGGTTACTATTTGTGTCTGTCCTTATATATATCATTAGATTTGTGTAATTTTTAATTGATTAATTAACTTGTGTACGTTGGAATAATTATATGAGTACTAATGAAATAATTATTGAGCATTTTTTTTTCTTGGTATACATATCATTAATGATTTTTTTTTCAATTTGCATCATATTTTATGTTATGAGACATATGTAATGCTTTCACTATTTTGTTGTGATTATATCAATAAAATTATTAGCGTATGATCGATGATAAATTAGATTCTAAATATATTTTTATTTATGTTTATGACTTTCATCTAATATTTATGGTTATATTTAAATTAATTTCAATAGTTTTTAATATATTAACTCCATAATTGATTGTCATTAAAAAAGACTATAATATTTATGTTCATATTCGTATTTAGAGAAAAAAGATTTGTACTTAAATCTATATTTTGAAAAAATATTTTCTTATATTACATGAGAGTTATGTTCCGTGTTTTTGTATTTTTGTTTAAGTGAATTATTTTTCGTTTAAACAAAAATGCAAAAACACAGTAACATGACCTTCATGTTTGTGCGCAAACATAAGGAGATCTCGATCCCTATATTTTTTAGAGTATTATTTTAGGATTGTTATCACTATTTCTGATAAAAATTTATATATTAATAATTATAATATTCATACTTATTTATTGGTATTATTTATTATGTAAAAAAAGTAATATTTTAAAAAAGTCAAAATAAGCTTTAAATAATTATTTTTATCAAGTAAATGGACCAAAATTAATTAAACCTTAAATTCTAGATTCAGACCATGTATGCTCAAATCTTGTAAAACTAAATCTATACACGACAAATTTGACAGTACAAGAAGAATTTAACAAATTTGGTTATACCATTATCTCGTGATTTTTGTCGATTTTTTTTCAATCAATCAATAAAATTGAAACCCATGAATTTCTTATTCGTACTTAACTACTTTGTACCATGTAGTAATGCTTAATATACATACTATCAAACAAAGCACAATAGAAAATATGGACAAGGGAGCATTTTAGGGTGAAGATGTTAATCTGAAGCTTAATACCTATATGCATTAAGCTTCAAATTATACGTTTGATGAAAGAGTTCAATACTTCACATAGAATTAACAACTGTAGACGTAACTAACATGAAA